CCCAACACGCGGCTCATCTCATTCAGCCCAACACGCGGCTCATCTCATTCAGCCCAACACGCGGCTCATCTCATTCAGCCCAACACGCGGCTCATATCATTCAGCCCAACATGCGGCTTTGCATATCATTTAGCCCAACACGTGGCTAACATTTCATTTATGCCCAACATGCGTCATAGCATTTCATACAGCCCAACACGTGGCTCATATCATTCAGCCCAACACGCGGCTTTGCATTTCATCAGCCCAACATGCGGCTCATTTCATTTAGCCCAACACGCGGCTCATATCATTTATGCCCAACATGCGGCATTGCATATCATCAGCCCAACATGCGGCTTGCATCTCATTCAGCCCAACATGCGGCTTTTCATTTCATACTTACCCAACAAGTGGCTCTTTTTCAATTTCATCTGCTTGACATCACATTTCTCTACATTTCATTTCTTTCTTTTATTTCCAGTTGCCCAAAAATCAAGCTTACAGGTCAGATCTCTCCTCATTCTTATCTTTCTCTCCATGGTTTAGTTAAAATTGGGTTATTCTTTTATCTTTACTTTTAACGAAAGAAAAGTAAAGAGGGGGCAACTGTCATAACTCAATTTTTCATTTAGCTTATTTAAGCTTTTCATATAAAAGAAAAAAAAAAGAGCAAAAAATATATATATTAATCACAAAAATTAATTTAAAAAAATCAAAAAAATCAAAAAAATATGAAAATATGACATTCTCTCTTTTCTTTAACTAATACATCTTCATTTTTCTTTCAGGTGCTACATGCAAAAAGAAATGGGAAAATTCAAGAAGAAGAAAGAAGGGACCCAATTGAAGAACTGAAAAGTTGAAGGGTGAAATGCATTAAAGTTCAACCCAAAACCCATTTACACCTTAAACCCATCTTAAATGGCCCAATTCGACCCATTTTCAATTTTAAGCCTTAAACAAAAAAACCAAAATCAAAATCCAAAAACCCAAGCCTACCAACTACCCAAGCCCAAAATCCAATACCCATTTAACCCAAACCCAAAAACAAAAAAAGAAAAAAAAAGAAGGTGTCTGGAACCTTCTCTTTCCCCATCAAATTTGTTTTTTTTCCCGAACCAGCCCGCGCCCTGCGCCTCACGCCCTGCGTCCTTCGCCCCGAACCCAGGTCCCCTGCACGCCCGAGCCTCGCCCCTGCACCAGCCTGTGGCCCTACGCCCCTGCTGCTGCACCGAACCAGCCCTTGCCGCCTGCTGCGCCGAACCCACGTTGCTTGCACGCCTGCACTCTGCGCCAGCAATCATGCCCTCTGCACCAAGCCATGCCCCTGCCTCTGCTCGCTACAGTACATGCCAGACAAAGTCTTCATCATTGCTGATTGACGGATCAAGTTTTTATTTTATTTCATCTTATTTTATTTGGGTATATATATAGGAAAAAAATCAGATGAGAAGGGGGGGATTTTTTTGGAGTTCGGGGTTGGAGAGTTCTGAAGTTTGATTGAGAGGAAGGGTCTGTGGTTGATTGATATTTGGAGTTTGATTTTGAGTGGATTTTGGAGTTCGGTTTTTGGGGGTTTTTCTTTGGTTTGAGCTTGGTGCTGA